CACAAAGGCCTTGGCACGGGTTACGGGCCACACGCCCGCCTGCCGCCTTCCTCTCAGAGCCAAAGGACCAGACTTAGAGTGAGAAGGACAGGATGAGAAGGAGTAAGACTCTCAGACTCAGGGAGGACACACTCAAACTCGCGCAAGAGGGTCCTCAAGTCTTCAACGCCTGAGGGCCCCGCAATGGTGGCCGTACAAATGCCGCTTGGCCAAACACGGTCAGCTGCTGGGGTAGACACTCCTGTCAACCCCCCAACTCGCAGCAACAACCCTCCGCCGCAGCCCTGCTCCCTCTCCTAGTACCACGCCCCCGTCACCCGATTGTCTTAGCAGCAGTGACCCATTGTTCAACAACGGTCATACCCAGCTGGGGCAACTACAGCCCAAAACCCGGACCTTCAACAGCACTGCCTGCCGCACGACAGCACATCCTCCCCCTTCGATCTATCCGATGCTGCATAGTCCGGAGATGTCAAATTCAGCTACCGTTCGCCCCCGTGTCTTATCGGAGCAGCAAGGGGATACGCAGCTGGCCACAGCGAGCACAACCCAACAGCATCCGGCGATCAGGTAAGTAACAACTGCGGGCGGTGGCTCGTTGTACGGCGGGCCACTGCGAATCGTAGTCCACTGAAACAACCGTATTTGCCAGCGGCAGCTTTGGCAGCAGAACGCTGCTAGGTGCGGCCGTGCCCACAGTATCAATGGTAGCAACAGCAGAACGGGTACCACGGCGGCACCCCGCAACCTAACCATAGCAGCCAGCACCGCCAAGCTAGATGCGGCAATGCCCCAGGGACCGCAACGGAAGACGCTGTACGGCGGTGAGCCCTGCGGCACGTCGGCAGTGGTCAACACTCAGCCTGTCGCGGCAGCCTCAGTAGGTCAGCCTCTGGTGCCAGTCCGTTTCCTCTCGCCCTTCCGGCTGGAGGGGTAGTATCCTGGCCGATCAGCAACGCATGTAATCTCGCAACTGGCTTGCCGTCACCCGACCCGGCGGAACGAGACCTCGTAGCTGCTCTTCAAGCTTGTAATCCTTACCATCTGCCTATTGCAGGCTCGCTCCTTGGCCCCCTTCGATCTGGCCCAACAAGCAAGCCCCCGCTCCCATAGCTCCGACCCCGTGCCACTCCTCCCTTGGCTATCTGCAACATCCCCGCCCGTGAGTGGTTCACACCGTCCCCGCGGAATCGCACCGTCCCAGCGGAATCGCAACTAACTCAGGTGAGTCTTGCTTCTCCTCCCTCAGTCCGCCTCACCGTTTACTCCCCCGCACTCTTTACTCCGCTCCGCTTGGCACGCCCTCTCCCCCCCTTATCTCCGTTTGTCCCATTCACTCTGCCATATCCATCCTTTCCTTCTTTTATTGCTAAACGCACCTGGCGTCGCCCGCGTCCAGGTTCACTACCTTACCTCTCTCTCCCTCCAGCACCTTCGTCGTCTTCGTCGTGGTGACGTCCCCCAAAACTGTGTCCGTCACTTACGAGTGCACAGCGCTCAGTCGTGGCCCAACTTTGTCGAAAGGAAGTAAAGCCAAAATGGTCGAACGGGCAGCTCCCCTCCGACTTATACCGACCGGCCCTAAGCAACGGCCGCGCGGGCCTCCGCGAATGCCCCACAGGACGCCAGCCGGGGCGAGTTCCCGCAGGTTTTCTGGGACACGCTCCGCCCAGCACCGCCTCTCTCACGAACGTGGCCTCTTTCCGGGGCCTGGTTCAGGTAGGCATTCCCCTCCCCTTTTCCTCGATCCATGCATGTCATTCTTGCGCAGGGGCTATGCTAATCCTCTCTGTATCACTCCAATTCTCGCAGGCTTGAAAAAGGCTTCGACCGGGCAACGCCTCACAATGCCTCTCCTCCTTTTCATACGTACCCCGGCGCAGCCTGCGTCCGGGTTCATTCCGAACTCATGCAGTGGCCAACGATTCTCCCACAATCCCCATTCTCCCTAGCTGCCGCGTCAGCGAGTTGACCAATCGAAAAAAGAAAAATAGAACAAAATAAAAAAGAAGAAAAACGAGAAAACAAACGGACAAAATTGAAATCTAAAGCAAAAATCTCCCCCGTAGTAATTCCTCCCCTACTCCACTACTTCCGCGCGAACCCGGCCTCCTTTCGGGGCCTAGTTCGGGCACTCCCTAACCTCTGCCCCAACAAGTACTCGGCTCCGGCCTCCCCTTTTTCCGTCTTCTCGTCCGGGTTCATTCCCGGACCTCCCCCTTGTTGGCTTCGCGGGCCTCCCGCTTCCCCCGTATCTCACTTCGATTCTCCCCCGGGAAGATCCGCCCTGCCGCCCCCCCACTTACTTAGCACCCCCCGCATAAACCCGGCCTCCCTCTGGGGTCTACACAGGTGGGCCTTGTACAGGGCCAGGCAATTCCTTCTTTACGTCACTCCCAGGTCTTCCTAGTGGCCGCATCAGCAAGTTGGCCAGCCCTCGTGAAGTTTGACTTTTTGATTTCTGGGCCCCTCGGCCCCCATCAACCGAGTTAGACGGGGCATGACCCACAGTACGTGGGTATACCCAACGGATCGGACTGCCAGCCCCAAGGCGCGGTCAACCGCCCCTCAACGGCTCCATCCTACGCAGGAAAAACTGGGGTGGCCTCCAAAACAAGGGAAGGGGATCACCTGGACGGGAGAACGAGCCGTAGCCCCTGCCAGTCCTCTTGCAGCCTTGCAGCGCGGACCTGCGGTCGGGCTCCCTCGCCAAACCCAAAAAGAACAAAAAAAAGGGAGAAAAAGGGGGGATAGTCCCACGGGACCCTCAACCCCCTTTCTTCTCGCCACTCCATTGCTTTTGCGTCGCCTTCTGCGGGATTCAAACCTCGTACCTCCGCCGTGCAAACCCAGTGCCGTAACCTATAGGGCTAAGCCCAAGCCTGTAACCAGCAGGCACGGTTTCCTATATAAAGTGGTGCCGCGCGGCGTTCCGGGCCAAAATACCGCTCCGACCGTCCTTTCACCCCGCATTCATACCCACGGCCCCTAAATGTCTGCGTCGGCCTACCAGCCTGTGCCCTGACCGTCCCGTATGCCTCTCGGTGCGCCACTCCTGCCACCGGTCACGTGCGCCGGCCAAAAGCAAGAAAAGAAACAGACCTTTACCCGTAACCAGACCCGTAACATGGTCCGGGCCGGTCGGCTAGACCGACCGCCTATCTCAACCAAAAGAAATCACACACGCGCCTCAAAATTGTGCGCCCACATACTCCCTACCGGGACAAGGCAGACCTTTGCCCGCGCGCGGGAGACCCTCACATTGTCCGCACGGGCACTCGAAATCCAGGTTAACTGAACCTTTCTGTCACTTGCAGAAACCAGGGCGGATACCCTTGTAAGGGTATTCGTGCCGACAGCTTACCGGACCATATTAAGCGACGTCCCCGTCGCCCCGCCAGATCAGAAAGCTATAAATCCATCCACACTCCAAATGGTGACGAGGTTAGAGCCAATCCGATTAGCCGATAGACTCAGGGATGAGGCCTCCATCAAACAGTGTCAACACAACTATATGCTGCCAGGGTTTCAACCTGGGTCTCCATTGTCCTGACACCAGGACGCCGGTGTATTACGCGTCGATACTACAGCATAAGTTCCAAAGGCCCTCAAACCTTCCTCTTCCCCTTCGTGGGACGCGGGCTTCGAATGGGACCTATGAAGGCATTCGTTGCCTTCTTCAACAAATTCCTCATAGTCAAACAAAGTACGCACGTATCAGCTTGTAGCCTCTCTCGGGCTTTTCTGCAGTCTAGTACAGAAATTTCAGGTCCCCATCTGGGCCTACCGTAGCCTGGCTGATCGGGCCAGGTCTACGGCCTACCGCGTTGTTACCTTAGCGGCGATATCCTCCCGCTGGTTATACAACGACAGGTATACCCCTGATAATCAATCAATCAGGGTCTCCAAAGGACTTGACTCTTATCCCGCGAAGTAATTTCCCTGGGGCGGGCAACTCCCCTTAAACTCTTACATTGCGGGCCCGCAGCCAGGTTGTGCCGGCTAGCAGCCATCCACTAGGGGTTGCGCCCAGGTGGCACTGAGCCTTACCGTTAGCTTGGTATTCCTTTAAATATGTCTCAAAATTAGCACAGGTGGCCAGGCGGGGCGTCACAAACAAACTCACAGGCCGCTGCGAGACTACGCAGGGGTCTGAAGGCATTTACCGGCCCTCCTATAATAGGCACGGCATCCTTCGCTCAATCACAAACCATCCCTGCCGGATTCACATGGCCGCGGCTCCTGACTTGATAAGAGTCAGCAGTCGCCCATCCTGAGGCATCTCTCGCCCTTTTTAAATGCTTCAAGCAAACATGGTCCCTTCTCGTCAGACTTTATCAATACAAACAATGCTTTCCATACCAGTTAACTTTTTACTCGCCCTTATTTTAGTAAGGGGCGCCCCTCATAAAAGATTTACCGGCCATCCTCTTTATGGGATGACTCCTCGCCCGACCTCGTCCAGAACCATGAAGGGGCCTCCATACAATGCAATTCCCACCTTCCAGAACCATGAAGGGAGTCTTAATCATCAAACAACTCAAGTTGAGGGACCACCTTCTGGTCCCTACACAATTTAGGCAACGATGTTTAGTATAACCAAACATACAAATTCCTAAATTTATTAATCCCGTAGGATTTTCACAGTTTTTCACAAACAGGCTGCACTCCCCCTCCTTATACTCTGCCTTCTCGTCTGCTTGCAGCAGACTGCACGAGTATACCGGAGGGTAGAAAACTTTACGATTTACACAATCATGCCCATGAGATGTATCATGTACATCTCTCACATAAAGCCAAACACTCATCGAGATAAATCCGCACATGTGAGAATGATAGTGATCGTCACAAGACAAGTCCCACAGGATCTCAACTCATAGTACACTCAGGGAGTAGAATGCCTCCCCCAACAACCGAATACAAGCACTCCACTCAATACCCTGCCTGTCTGAGTAGGACTCATAACCCCACTGTACACTCAGGAGGAAACAAATGAACAAGAGTCAAACGCATATGTACAATCGGATAGAAACTCACCCCACCACTTCTACGCACACACACATCTAGGGCCCGCTCGACTGACTCAAAATATGTACACCCCTAACCCCGCCCTGTGTGTGTCACGGATCTCTAGTCCCACCAATATATAGACAGACTGGTCCCAACTTACACAATTCCTCCTGGTTCTGCCTATACAACTGAGCCCTGCCCCCATCTGGAGCTCGCTCCACTATCCTGCCCTGTCTGTCATAGAACTTGCCGTCGACCTCCGCAACTCGCCCCTTGGCCTTATCCTCAAGGAGCTCTGGACAGTCCACGACTCTATGCCCTCCCTCCTTGCACCAAAAACAGGAGGTATCGTGCCACCTGGCAATCTTCTTCTTTCTCCCCTGCGAACTCGATGCCAAAGGCATCCCCACGGTCTCAGTAGTCACCTCATGACACGAGGGCAACCCCACATGGCCCTGAGGTCCAGGCTCCATAACCTCAACACCCTCACCCCCTCGTGCAACCACACTCTCTGGCCCGCGCTCTGGCGTATCCAACTCTCGAGGTCCCTCCTCATGCGCCCTCTCTGTCATCATCGCCTCATCCCTACATACTCCCGACGGCTGAGAGTCCACCATGGCAGTGGGCTCACTAGTAACCTCCTGCTGCTGCTGCAGTCGCGAGTCAGGCCCTCCTGAGTCCGTCTTCGTGGCCCAGGAGCCCAGCTCCGCTCTCAACTCTCCCAATCTCGGGGCCTGCTCTGGAGCGTCAAGTCCCTGAGGCCCCTCCTGCGGAGTGCCTATCCTCATGGCTGCCGCCAGCTCATGCAAGCGCGAAACTCTCCTCTCCGTGGACATAGCCATGAGCGACTCCTGCGCGCCATTCTCCTCCTCAACTGCGTCCAAGGGCACCTCCTCCATCGGCTCACCCTGTCGAGGGACCTCCACTGTTGCTCCTTGGCTCGGCGAGGCGCGCATCCCCCGACCCTCTCCATCGGCACCGGCTCGCCCCATCTGGCTAGCCTCCCAGGCTACCGAGAGCCTATCCACAGCAGCCGCGATCTCCCCAAATCTCCTCTCCCACTCAACCTCTCTAGCCTGGCTCCTCGCCCTCTCCTCGGCAAGCTGAGTAGTCAGGTGCTCTACCTCCAGCTCCTTAACCCTGAGCTCATTGCTGAGTAGATTATACCACTGGAAAGATGTGACTGTCGTCTCGCATACCCTCCGATCCATGCGCTCAATCGCCTGCCTGGTCGCGGAGAACCCCAGGTCCCCCATCTCTCTCAACTCACTCGTCTCCTCGTCCGCCCGTCCTGCCTCTCGTGACCTCTGGCGGGCTGCATCCCTCTGGCTCWCATACCTAGCCCACAACTCGTCGATCCTCTGCTCACTCGTTTTGGGCTCGACCGGCGGTGTCGGCTCTATCCCCGCCGCCTCCATCTCAGCCTGTCTTGCGTGTATCTCGTCTAGACGGGCCCTCACTCGGGTGGACTTCTCTTCACGGGTCTCTGTTGGGCCCCTGACCTCCTGAAGTCGATGCCTCCACCTCCATCCCTTCGCTCGTGCACGACACTACTGGTGGTAACTCTGCTGAAACGGGCTCCTCGATATCCGGGCTCTTGGTCACCTACGTGGCCGAGGGCAAGTCAAGGGGCGTCTCCACCCTCGCTCTCTCACATACTCCCTGACCCTCCGCCTCTGCCTCCTGCTCCGGTAACGCGGTGGCCTCAGGGGGAAACTCCGGGATCTCCTCACTGTCTGGCTCAGGAATCCCCTCTGGCCATAAACGCTGTGCTGGCTCTGGAGCTGGGGAACATGGAGGGGTATCGTCCCCAACCGTGATCACCTCTCTGCCCTGAGGTCGTACCGGATCCGGCCGCTCGGCTGCCATCTCATGATCCTGCGGCTCCTCTCGGTCTCGCATGTCTGTCTCCATCTCATGGTCGAGGGGCTCCTCCAGTGGCACGTAGCATGCCGGCTCAACTGAGCCCTCTCCCAGGCGTGAGGCCTCCCATTGGGATACATCGAGATGAGTCGCTAAGCTTCGGAATGGCGTCTCTCTTGGTATGTCCAGCTCCTGCGTTGATGGCAATGGCGAGGGCGGCCTCAACTCCTCGCTCGTAATCCGCCGAAACTCAACCGCCCGGAGGCCACAAGCAGGGAACGACTCCCTTGCCAATGCGAGCCCTATGGGCTCATCCTCCCGCTGGGCTGGGGCTCCCCTCCCCTCTCTGGCCAGCCCTGCCTCTCTCGGTGCTGGTTCCCTTGGCCTTTTGCTTCGCCGTCGCCTCTCAACCCTAGGCTCGTGCCTCTCGTGCTGTGGCCGTCCGAACGCCCTCCTAAGCTGGGCCTCACAGTCCTCCCAGTCTCGAGCCCTCTCCTGAATCTGCTTGACCGTCTGCTTCTCTGCTTGCCTCGTCCAGATAAGTAGGGCCTGCACCCATTCCCCCTGCGCAACCCCCAGACTCAACATGTAGTGCTCATATGCGGGGATGAACTCATCTGCGTTTCCCTCCTCCAATCGAATGGGCATGCCATCACGCCCCCTAGGGGAAGCTCTCAACCTCTGCATTCCCGGCCTCCACATCTGGCCAAGTGAGGGCCTCCTCGCGTATCTGAGCGACAGGCTCCTCGAACTGCCCTACACCCCTCAAGTGGTGAATCCTCTCTGCCACTGACCACCCTCTCTGTGCCGCATGGTCCCGATATATGTCCAAGAAGAGCTCAATGTTGTCGTCATCGAACTCGGGCGTAGGCTCCCTCCTAGGTGGCCCATGCTGCTCGCCCCCTCCCGCTATCCTCTGGAGCCCCTGGCGTGGCCGTGTGTCCCTCCCGCCCCTCTGCATGGCTGCCTTCGAAAAGTCAGACCTGCACAACAGGCGAGAGACAACAAACAGGCACACAACAGGGTCAGCAACCGAGCCATCGGCTTAGGGAAATCCCACACACACTCCACACCCATCCATCCCAATCACTCGCCTACCCAATCATCTGACAAGGGTAGAACTTTAGGCGGAACTCCATCTTTAACAAGGTCTCATGATCCCTCACCTATTCCCTGGCCACGAATTTCTTCAGCCTTGTCCCTGATACCCAATCCTGCCACCCTGCACCATCCAGCTCTCCGATTTGGTAGGCCCCAAACTCGCCACACCGCACGATCCTATAGGGTCCCAGCCACCGCTTGTCGAGCTTCCTAGACCATTATTTTTCCAGCGAGGAGTCATACAACAGCACCACATCTCCGACCTTCAGCGGATCCTTCCTTATTCGGGCCATCTGGTCCCATCTCATCTTGTCCTCCATACGACTTCTCTCTACCTGACCAGCGGCCTCTCGTAGCCTTTCTTCAGCGGCCCCCACCTGCCGTGCTCGTATATCGAGCAGCTCCTCAAAGGACAGGTTCACTTCCAGATCCTGGCGCCTCCACGTCTTCATAAAGCTTTCTATGGGAAAGGTGGCATGCCTTCCGTACCATAGTGTGGTTAGCGCATACTTGGTAGTCCTTTTCACTGTAACATTTTCCACGAAGAATGCTTCTCTCAGGAATTTCGGCCATTGGTTAGGCTTTCCTTCAGTCCATTTGGCCAGAAGATTCGTGATGGTACTATGCCCCCTCTCCACAGGCGTGTTTGCCTGGGGGTGCGTGGCAGTAGTGTAATTTGCTACCACGCCATACCCTGCAAGCAAGGTTTGCACCTCATTACAAGTGAACTCCGACACCCGGTCCATCACAAACTCTCTGACAAATGGATAGCGCAGGTAGTATTCTTCGATGCACCTCGCTAAAACTGGGTCAGTCTTCGTATGAATAGCCCGACCATCCACGAACCCGGTAAGGTTGTCCAGTGCGTCGAAGATATAGCTACTTCCACCCACTTCCCTTTCCAACCTGGGGTGCAGAGGCTCCCAAGGCCTTTGCGCCGACCTCTGTTGGCAAGGTACACAGGACTGGCAGTACTTGATGACCATAGTCAGCATCCCATCCCAATGGTATAGATCACTTATCTTTGCGCACGTGGCACTAACCCCTCTGTGCCCCCCCGCTATACCATCGTGCAAGGCTGCTATGACGTCGATCTGACGGTTTCTCCCACATACGATCCTCTTTGGGTTCCCAACTTGTCGCTTTATGAACAGATGGCCATCTCTTACCACATAGAGATGTCTCATCTTCTGGGCTTTGGCACTTGCGTCCCTATCCCTCATTTCGTAAGACAGGAGTAACCCCAACTCCCGATAAATTCCGTCATACTCCTCAGCACGGAAGACCTCCCTAATCTCTCCTTCTTCGAACTCGTCGTCCTGGCACTCAGGAATGAGAAGTTCGTTCTCCTCTAAGCTGGTTGCGCTCCTCTGGTCCAAGTTCCCCTGCAGGAGCGTGTTGGTGAGCAAGTACATTCCTCCCATCAGTTACTCATGCTCCTCTACCTGGGTCGGGCCTTCCTCTATCGTCCTTACCTCCTCCGCTAGACTATGTGTCCCTGCCAATGCCAACCTCATCATTCAGCCAACATCCCTACTCCCCCACGGATCTTCTTCCTGGAAGGGCTTGAGGACCAACTCCTCCTTCTGCTCATACCCCCTTGGTGCTAGCCATATAGGATGCGTGACGCAGCTAGGCACCCTCAGCGACCATTCATTTATAAGGAGGCGGACGTCCTCCTCCTGGTCCAAGAACCCATCAACTGGTAGGGTATCCTCAATTGATTCTTGATTCGCCCTGTCCCAGTTGATACAGCTCAATCCATCTGCCCTGTTCTTGTCCCCGGGAATCCTCTCCAACTCAAAGTTAAACATCCAAATGTAAGTCAACCACCTCGTGATGGTTGGGTCAGATGGAGTGTAACTTTTCAGGGAACTCGCCAGCGCGATAGGATCCACCCTCAAGATGAGCCGCTTGCCAAAGATATAGTTTCGGAAGGTCCTTAGGCAATGGAGTACCGCCAACGTCTCCTTCTTAAACTGGGAGTAATTCCTTTCAGTCGTATTGAGGGTGCGACTTTCAAACCTCGGCGGCCTCTCCTTCCCATCAACATCCGCCTGAATCAGGACTCCTCCTAAGGCAGTTGGCCCAGCGTCCGTCTCGACAACGAATAGCTTCTCCTCCGTGACCTCGTAGTTCGGCGCTCCCAGCACCAAACCTCCTTCCCTGAACTCTCCCTTCATCTTTTCCACAGCCTTCTCCTGGTCCTCGCCCCAGACCCATTCTTGATCCTGACGCACCAGCTTTCTTAAATGCTCCGTCTTGGTGGCGAAATCCTTCACAAAACTCCTCCAAAACCCGCAGGTCCCAAGAAAGCTCCTCACGTCCGTTATTGACTGGAAGGGGACTGGCCACTCCAGGATCTTGTCCGTCTTCTTCACATCTGGCCTCCGCCCTTTCTCGTTGCAGACAAAGCCCAGAATCGTGGCCTCCCTCATGCAATGCTTCGACTTGGGGCCACTCGCCGTCAGGTTGTGCTCTTCCAGCAGACCCAGAACTTGATCAATATCCTGGACGTGCTTCCAGACAAACCGCCTCACTCCTGGCATCACTTCGTCTTCCTCCTTCTCCTTTGGACCCTTGACCGCCAAGTTGTCAATGTAGGGCTGAGTGATATGTGGACTAACTGTCTGCATGACCCTAATCATGTGCCTTTGCACCATTGCCACCGCATTAGTCCACCCCTGAGGTGCCACGTTCGTGTGGATCAGCCCACTTGGCGTATGCAGCGCCGGCACTAGCCTATCCGGTGGGTACACAGGAAACTGGTCATACCCAGAGTAAAGGTCTATAAGTAAGATTATAGGTCTTCCTGCGCTTGACTCTGACAGAGCGTCCGCGTGAGGCAACCCTCCCGCGTCCCGCACCGTCATTGCATTCAATCGTTGCAGATCCTGCACCCACCGCAACGTTCCGTTCGGCTTGATAAAACAAACCCAGGGGGAAGCATACGGTCCACTGGAGTAATCCGCCACGTACATCCTCATCTTCCCATCCAAGTAATCCACCACCTTCTTCTCCTCATCCGGATTCGGGTACCGCGCGCCCCTCAGGTTCCACGGCTCGTGTGGGACGGTATGGATTCGTATCATCGGGATCTTATCCACGTCCAACCTCCCACGCTCGGCATCATTAAACGCGTACGCGCAATGCCTCCTCTTCATGGTCTCCACCATCAAGGTCCTTTCCTGGGGAGAAAGGAAGCCAGGCTCGCCAATTATCAACCCTTCCTCATTCTCATCCTTGATGCGGCACGGCCCTGCCTGCGCGTGCTCCCGCATACGCCTTATCAGCCCCCACTCTCGCTCATAGTAGGCTTCCTCATCCTCCGTGACAAGCACAGGGACTGGGCGGCACTTCTTGTCTATGGTCTTGTACCGCCTTTGGGAACCCTGCTTAAGCCCTCCCCTAAAAAAGGCCGACTTGTCGTTCGGGCCTGGGCCATCGCAGGGTCCCCTTTCCTTCCTGGGAGTCGATATATCAACTCCACCTCTCCCACCTGAGGGCTTTCCAGGACCTGCTCCCTCAACACCTTTATAGCCTCCGGGTCCGCCATATCATGCGCCGCCACCACCTCCATTGCCTTATTTACATCATTAAGGCTCAGGGACAACACCTCGCCTGCTCCTTCCTCCTCCTGCTCCTCCCGGAGTCTCCGTCGCGCGTACTCTGACTCCTCGAAGGTAAAGGAGCCGAGGTTGAGCCTGTTCCTCCCACTTCCGGGCCCTGTGTTCCGACACTTGATGATTTCATAGTTTCCGCAAGCCGGATCAGATAGAGCCAGGATCATCGTCCCCTCATGCCTGTTGAAGACTAGGGTCTTCGTTCGGCAGAGGAACGACCTCCCTAGAAGGATGGGGTGGTCAACATCGGGCATGACGAAGAAGCACGTTCGCGCCCTTACTCTCCCAATCTCCACCATCACATTAGACGCGGTGCCGCAGAAAATGGCCTTGCAGTTGGCGCCATGCAGCACACCATGGTCCGAATGGTCAACTTCCAACCCTAACATTGTCGCGTCCCGCTCCCGGATGATATTCATCTCCGCGCCCGTGTCCACCATTGCAATGCTCGGCTGGTCCCTCACCTTCAGGTCCACCAACCCACACGCCACACATTTCCAATCCATCCTGGTGCCCGCCTCTGTCCACTCTATCTCCCTGGGCAGGATTGAACTCAGGTGGGCATTGGGCACTAACCTCCGCGAAAGCCGCCCTTTCAGCTCGCCCCGGAGCCTCGGTGCTGAGGCCAAAATGTCCTTTAAGTTCATCAGATCGTTATGGCCCTCTAGGAGCTTATCCACCATTCGCTCCACGTCAAAGCCTTCCTCCACCCAGACCGCGTACTTCTTCCTTTTTGGCACGCCATCATGCAGACTCGGCTCCACCCCTCCCTGAGCCCCTCTCTTCTTGGCCCTCTGTTCCGCCCTCCGGTCCTCCTCCTACCGGAGCCTCTCGTCCTCTTCGTCATCACCCTCATTTCCTCTTCTTGGACCTCTACCACTTCCTTCCTCCGTTCGGGCTCAGGGTCCTTTCGAGGGGGCGCCCGACTGGGTGCCTGGCTGGGCCCTTGACTGGTGGTAGCCTTACTTTGGCCCCTAGTCTGCGCGGCCTGTGGTACCCTTCCATCCGACGTAGGGGGTCTGAAGGTCATCCCTGACCTAGGACCTGCCCCGGCCGTCGCCACGCTTGGACATCCTTGTGTACCTGACGACGACTCCGAACCGGACCCATAGAGCATCACCTCAAGAAGGCTCATTTCCCATTCTCGGACCTTTTCACACATTGCCCTTAGTCGTTCCTGGTACCTGCTGACCTTTGCAAGCAGGCCCTCCATCCTCTCCAGGATGGTCGAGGCTGATTCCCCCACCACTTTCTGCGCCTCTTCGTCGGACTCAACAACTATAGGTTCCTCCTTTATAGTTCCCGCCTTCAGCCGCTGAGTCACTTCCTCATTTTCACCCACAATCTCCTCGACTCTTACGCCGGGGTCTTGCCTTCCTGCCATATCCTAAACATTGTTGGGGCTGCTGGAGGCCCTGACGCTGCCCGCCTGAGGGCTTCCTGCCTTATTCCTCCCGGGGTCTTGGGATCAATGTGCTTTCCCCACCGGTCGTATATATCCCCGTCCATATAGGTGGAGATTAATCCTGCCAACTCGTCGTCCCGCCGCTGTTGGCAGAATCGTACAGTGTGGCCCACCTCGCCACAATGCCAACAAGTTGCGTTCCGCCAGTCGAAGCGGGGCCTCCCATACCCTTGGCCTCCTCCCTGGTTGCCTTGGCCACCTTGGTTCTGACGCCCTTGACCATTCCAACCTCCTCCATTACCTCCTCCATTTCCTCCTCGCCCCCGGCCGCCCCCTCCTCTACCCCCTTGGCCCCGGCCTCCATTGCCCTGCCCGCCTGGTCCTTGGCCCCCTCCCCCGGCCACACTAGCTTGCGAGGCCTGCTGGGAGGGTGGCGGTTGAGCCACAGGCTGGCTTTGAGTCGCCAGGTAGCTCGGGGTTCCCATACTTGCTGATGGGCCTGAATAGGGGACCATGTGCCCCACGTGGGCCTGACTCCCTCCACACGAGACACAGTGGTTGCAACTGGGCCAGGACGCGGACTTACAGTGCGACACCCAGTGCCCGCAAGTTGGTGGCGGCCCCATGTGCGATGGTCCTGCTGACGCTGGCGCGGCTGCGGCGACAGGCGACGGTGCGACAATGGCTTGAGGGGCCTGCCCCTTCCCTGACCCCTACCCTCCCTGCAGCAAATTACGCTGCTTCCTCTGGGCCTTAGTCAGGACCTGGGAGCCTGTCTCCCCTCCGCCGTAGTCTTCTTGCCCAGCCTGCTCCTCTATTGCCCCTGACGCCCGGCCTTGGGCCACTGGCACCCCTCTTTTCTGTATCTCCGCTTCATTGTCATACCCTAGTGATGCCAACACATCCGTGACGATTCTTTTTACCCCTGGGGTCCCGGATGCGGTAGCATCCCTCTCCTTCCTCTTGCGCCTTTGCAGCCTTATTTGGTGCTGTTCCACCTGGTATAGACTCCCTTCTTCCACTCCCTTGTCAATGGTTGTCCAGGTGAGCCTCTCGCTCCCTTCCCCATGCTTGGTTAGCTCGGTGGCCTCCGAGCCCGTAAGCAGTCCCAGAAATGTGGCGCACTGCGCCTCCTCATAAATTTTGTGAACTTTTCTCGCCCTTTTCTTAAACTCGTGCACGAACGCCCCAATGGTAGAGAAGTCTTCCTTGTTCATGGCCTCCAAGTCGGCCATGGTCAACAGGCCGTCCCCCAGCCTGTACTTCCTTCGCATTAGATCCCCAAACTTTGTCCAACTGCCACCGGCGGCATCCACAACCTTAGTCACTTCCCGATGGTGGTTGTGCAGGACGTACCTCAGGACCCGCTGGAGCTTGACCTCATCTGACAGTCCCACCAGTGCCTGTTCTGTCCGATCCAACCAGTCGGATACCTTGTCCCCCTTGAAGTGAAAAGTCTCGACCTTTGGGACATTGCTTGGCGCCCTTTCACGCTTGTCGAGGGCATCGATGAGGTCATCGAGAGTCACGAGCTTCCTCCCACCGTCCGCCATCCCTTCTGGCATCTTCGCCAACCACCTTCGACTTCAATCTTCCTGTTATAAGAGACGATGGGACAGAGGACCCCACTCAACGACTCAACCTTTCATAGCCCTATCGGGTTGACCACCTTAGACACCCCACACTCTAGACCTGGTAGGCATTCCTTCTCCTACTTCCCTTGGGCTCACCTAGATAACACTTACCCTCACCATAGGACTTCCTCACACACTTACTTCATTCAAACTATCAACCAAGCCGCCAATTAATCAATCATCCAACCCATAGTCATATAGATCACCTTACGTACATCTCATAGTCCCTCTTTTACTCACTCATATGCCTAATTTTCCTTCACTCTCGTACCCGGATGTCGTTCCACAAGGGACCACGGTAGGCTTCCGTTATCCCCGGCAACGGCGCCACCTGTCGAGCGCATCGGTCCGGCACCGCGCGCGGCAGTGCGGGACCCTCTCGGCCGCGTCACGCAAGAGTTGGACTAACCTCGCCACGAACACACCAATGGAGCTTCCTTAGGCCGCTCCGGCCGAGTGCGCCAACCATACCTCTCGCAAGCCCCTACGACAGGATAGGGCCTACGCGAGGCACAACTTACCTCCACCTTACGGGAGTTGTCACCTCCCTTCGGTGGGCGTATCCCCGTCGAGCTACCAGTCCACAATACGAAAGCTTCTCGGTTGCAATAGCAGAGGTGGACCAGCCGAGGGCGTTTCTTGTTCGTTGTAGCATATGGGGTACGCGCGGTAGCACGCCTATCAGACCCGCACGCAAACCGACATCTTGGGGGGCTGAAGTCCCAAGCGCGGCTCGTCGTCGGTCGACTAGGACGCATCCCACACACCACGCGCACACCACCTTACGGACACAAAAGTAGAACACACGCACACGCACATACTACACGACACAACACAAACAACGTGACACCGCTCCCAATCCCTGCAATAGTCGTCCCATAACTTCCGGACGCAGGGCTACTCATATCGACTCGCAATGCAAGCGTACGCAAGCAGTCGCAATGATAGCGTACCAGGTAGTACCCATACTCACGCGGTCCTTGTTAATCTCGAGGGTCGCATTCGACACTCAAGTGTCGGCTGACACGCGCCTAGAGGGTTAATCTCTCGACGCCAGACAACCGCCATGCGCGGTTGGAGACCACACACCCTCTTCTGCACCCTTATGCAGAGTGGGTGGTACACAGGCCCATGCTTGTGGTGGTAGTCGTCTCTCGCGGCCCTAGGGGTGAGTCCTCCCCGGGGCCTGGGCGAAAGTCAAGGGGTTTGACTTTGACGGTTGCCACGGACTACGACATCCAACCATAAAAATCTCTAAGAAGCAACTAGACTCACACGGACCCAAGAAGAGGGGATAGGGCAAAGGTCTTGTGGCCCTTAAAACAAAAACTCATGGCCTTGGGACACACTTCCCCTCTATGGGCGGTGCCGGCGGCCTATAATAATCCCAAGCGCTGCGCCAACGCGCCAGCCCGACGGTCTCATAAGTTTTAGACGTCGGGGGCGGCGAGGCGTCACGCGCAGGGCTCTGATATAAAACTGTGCGGCCGCACGCCAACCCTATGCCAACCACCGATGCCAATCATATGTGGTAATCGTGGCTAAGCCTCGCGATATTGAGTGGCTGAAGGAACTCATCGCCAGGGATTACCCCTCACGATATTGAACGGCTGAAGGACACGCCGTTCAACCCTCGTGACGTTTCCACCTCTCAGGTGGAGTGTCCTGCTGGCCAAAGTAAGCAGGCTCTACGCGAGGGGAGGCCCCTCCCCTTCAAGGCCTAGGGCTTGGGATGTCCTGGACAAGGACCTTGAATCCCGGCCCGGGACCAACGTCCGACTAAGAAAGCCCCAAGACGCAAATAGGCAGAAGGGAGGGTCTTCCCTGTCCCTCAGCCCCAACTTTCACGCGGTTATTAACACGGCCCTTTGGGCCCCTCGAATACCCATCGTACGTATACCCTCGCATACAAGTGAAAGGGGATAGAGTTATGACGATCACTTCTCACAGGCAGAGTGGGACTCCTCACAACCATGTCTATGTATTATGGAATCGCACGCAGTCCAAATCCAAAATCCGAGCCACAGGACATACCTGCAACCACACCAAGAATCAAGCGACAAAACACGCACTACATAGAGTCAACCCCAACCATTCTCTATGCTCATACCCCTTTTCTTTAGTCATGCAAGCCCCAATCGCCGTTTCAACCAACCTCAATTAAAAACTCAGTACCTTTGTCAAATGGCCATTCAATAAAAGTTCGGATGAAACCCTTAACAAACAGTAAAACCACCAGGGCTACAGCCTTTTAGGTTGAGTAGGGGGAAGTGAGTCGAAGTTGAGTCGAAGACCGACGAATCGGCAACCGACCTGTTATCAGTGATAACAGAAGACGATCTTCCAGGGATCAAGCTGAATCTAGTCCTGATCTTTGAATCAGACACCCCAAAGGACCTGTAACACAAGATAGGTCAAATGCCCAAACTAAATCATCATCGTATGGGGGATGAACCTCCATAGCACATTCTCTCCCAAAGTTATCTGCCAACTAAGTCTAAGTCTACCTCTAAGCCAGTGCCCAAAGCAAAATTATAGATTAATGGCAGAATCTCCCTTATCCAGTGTGGATTGCCAGAATCGTCACCTGTCAAAATATAATCTAACTCCTCTAAATCAAGGAAATTTCGGCAGCGCTTCCCGCGGAAAAAGTGTCTTTTCAGAATTTATATCAGCCCAAATATGAAAGCAGAAATAAACTCCAACTCTGAAAAGTCAAATTTTGTCTAACTCCCTCAATTAGTAGAACTTTGCACAGCACTCTCTCTAGAAATGGAGACTTCCCTGATTTATACTAAGTCAGATATGAACTCAAAAGACAAATTGAGTTCGATTTAGATATTAGTTTTGCAGAAATTTCGGCAGCACTTCCTTTAGGAAAGTGCGATTTCAAAGTTTATACAAAGCTAAGTCCAAAACCTGAAAACAACTTTGACTTCTCAAAGTTCAATTTTGTCTAACTTCCTGAATTAGCAAAAATTTGGGCAGCACTCCCTTTAGAAAATAAGACTTTCCGATTCTTACCAAGTCAGATATAGAACGTAGATAAGTTAAACTTAGACAAGTCAAAAGTTGACTAACTCCTTGGATTTGTAGAGATTTCGGCAGCGCTTCCCGTAGAGAAAGTAGCTTGCCAAGATTTATACAAGGCCAAGTATAACAAAAGATCCCAGAAAATGCGAGAATCGATCTAAGTAAAAAACTTAGCTCACAAAATGCAGGAATTGACCTAACTCCTATCGCTCTAGCACGTGGCGAGCCTCCTAAAACAACTACCCGTCAACCTGAAACCCAGACCAAGTAGTAACCTCACTCAGCCACATGCAGGCCAAACCACAAAGGTAAGTACTCTCACCATCCCCAAGCCAATCTGAGCAAATAATAATTCATGACCTTTCAGTGAGTTATCCCCTTATACCCAACTTATATAAGGCATAGGTTAGGGCACCTGAACTTACAGAGCGCACCCAACTTAGCCAGGCCTAAACTCAGAATACCTAAACTTATAGAGCGTTCTGACTCGGCCAAGTATACACAAACAGAGGGCACAACTACTTCTCTCTTCTTTGGGCATATGACTAGACCACTCTAGTCGCCCTGAACTGTTTAAATAGCCAATTTATATATACTTCTCTAGACTTAGTCTTCAAAGGGGGCATAAGGCTGAGCCGCTCAACTCAAAACATTGCTCAGCCTGCCCAAGCTTACCTTCAATTATATCTCTTAGTTTATACTCTCTTCATTTGTGATAAGCTATAGTCAGGCTACCTAAACTTATAGAGCGGTCTGACCAGCCTGTTCGTAATAACACAGTAGTACAATACAGCCAAGTTATATTCATTGGATTCCAACATGTGCGAGGCATTGGGTAAGACCACCTAAACTTATAGAGCGGTCTCATCCTCAGCCAAGTTCGTTTCTCTCTGGTCCAATCTGTGCGAAGCAGTGAGACAGGCTACCTAAACTTATAGAGCGGTCTGTCCCTTGCCAGAATTACTCCCTCAGAACAAAACAAGAGAAGGGTTGAACCATCTAAACTTATAGAGCGGTTCGGACCTCCTTGTTCAGAACCAAAGAAACTGAGAGATCCTCAAGCAAAACGAGGCAACCCAAGGTACCTAAGCTTATAGAGCGCCTTGGTTCCCTGAAAACCACTCGCAGTCAAATCCCCACAAGTCAGAGCAGTCGAGACACCTAAACTTATAGAGCGTCCTGACCCTTCATGCAGTTCACAACACCAGGTCTCCCCAAACTTATGGGGACATCCCGGCCTCCAGAGCTTCAGGCTACCTAAACTTATAGAGCGGCCTGAGGCTCCATGCAGCCCAAAAATAAACAAAGCGCTGGGCTTCCCCAAACTTAAGGGGACCTCCCATCCTTAGTGACCCAGTCAATCTGCACACAATACTGCCTTCCTTCCAACCTTCCCCCAGATGCAACCCATCTCGTTCACAATCTGCTTTCATGCAGTCAACAAAAACTGAAATTGAGATTGCACACACACTCCTTTACTTCAGTCTGACTTAGGTCCTGATAGTCAAGCCAAAATCAGAGTACAGGATCCACACCATACGCTCAGTCAAACGTAGAGAGATGTACAGGTAGGGGTTATAATTGGGTTTATAGAGGGAGTCAAGGGTTTACCACTTAGTTCCCTGCCTCCAGAACTCCGCCTTAGTCCCGGCAGAGCTCCCGCAATCGGTGGGGAAACTCCCACAAAGGCCTTGGCACGGGTTACGGGCCACACGCCCGCCTGCCGCCTTCCTCTCAGAGCCAAAGGACCAGACTTAGAGTGAGAAGGACAGGATGAGAAGGAGTAAGACTCTCAGACTCAGGGAGGACACACTCAAACTCGCGCAAGAGGGTCCTCAAGTCTTCAACGCCTGAGGGCCCCGCAATGGTGGCCGTACAAATGCCGCTTGGCCAAACACGGTCAGCTGCTGGGGTAGACACTCCTGTCAACCCCCCAACTCGCAGCAACAACCCTCCGCCG